ATAATCATGCACATTTTACAGAAGGAAACCAAGGCACAGCAAGATTAATTAAACATCAGTCTGGCTCCCCAAATCTGTTCTATTAACCACTATATTGTGCTATAGTGCCAGACCACAGGCACCTTATAATCCTGTAGCACATGTAGTGTAAATGTACAAATTACTAAAGAATGCAAATCAAGAGAAAGGTCAGGTGGGAAGTGTGCTGAGGGCAGGAAGTAAGAAGGGGGGAGGTGTGCCCTCCCTCTAGGTATCAAGGTGAGTCTGGAAATACACATGCCTAGAAACATTTATTTCATCTGAGATATTCCCTTCCAGTCCTGGCATAGCTGAGGAGTGAGAAAAAAGGGTACTGAGTAAAATTGGCCAACAGAGGGCTTGTACTTTTAGGGGTTGGGGCTCCTCTGTGTCTTGTCATTCCTTGCAAAAGATATGAATTCCAGCTTGGGGACAAGAGAGGGTTTTTTCTTGGTCTCCACTTCCCTAAACTTCATCTCTAGCCCTCTAGAGGGGGAAAGAGAATAAGAAAACAGTAGAGAATGATCATGGCAGACTCTTGTGAATCTATACATGGGTGATAAGACTCTCCTCAAGTTTTTTCCCAGGACTTTTCCCTGGAAATGGGGTTGAGGAGGAAGTATAGTCATTGTGGAGATGAGGGGAGCTGAGAAGGAAACAGGAAATTTGGGTGTGACCAGTGGCAATGTGATCTCTTTTGAATTTTTTTTTAAGTCATGGAGGAACAGCAGTCAGACTCCTTCCCCATGTCTTATCCATAGACTGGACCACATTGTGATGACAGTAAAGAGTATCAAAGACACCACGATGTTTTATTCCAAGATCCTGGGCATGGAAGTCACAACTTTCAAGGTAATCACTTTCCCATATGCAAATTGCAAGTGAAGTAGAATTTGGTTATAATATTTTTCAGCCCCCTTCCCCTCAAAAAAAAAAAAAAAAAAAAAAAAAAAAAAAAAAAAAAAAAAAAAAAAAAAAAAAAAAAAAAAAAAAAAAAAAAACAAAAACAAAAAACCTCAGAGGAAATCTGTGAGAAAAATGCAAAGGATCAATGTAGGAGATTCCAAATTCTAAATAGTGGAACTTCCAGAGACAGAATGGAGAAAAAGGTAGGGAGGAAATTGTCATAAAAGTAACGCAAGAGAACTTTCCAGTCTTTGTGTGGAAGAGTATCCAGCACATTGACACTTAGATATGTTCTTGGGAAGTTACAGAACATCAAAGTGGAAATGAGTATCATAAGAGCTTTCAAAGAAGTTAGAAAGAAAAGTAGTTAGGGGCACCTAGGTGGCTCAATCGGTTAAGCGTCCAACTATTGATCTCAGTTTAAGTCACGATCTCACAGTTCATGAGTTCGGGCCGTGCATCGGGCTCTGCACTGATTGTGTGGAGCTTACTTGGGATTCTCTCTCCTTCTCTCTGCGCCTTCCCTGCTTGTGTGCTCACTCTTGCTCTCTCTCTCTCTCAATAAATATTTAAAAAAATTAAAGCTATATTAAAAAAAAAGAAAAGTAGTTCAACTACAAAGGGAAAAGAAATATGCAGATACCAGATTGCCCATGAGTCACATCAGAGACCAGAAGACAATAGAACAATTTCAAGATTTTTTTTTAACTTTATTTTGAGAGAAAGAGAGAGAGATCATGTGCGAGCAGGGCAGAGGCAGAGAGAGAGAATCCCAAGCAGGCTCCACACTGTCAGTACAGAGCCTGACCTGGGGCTCAAACTCACGAGGCGTGAGATCATGACCTGAGCCAAAATCAAGAGTTGGATGCTTAACCAACTGAGCCACTTAGGCACTCCAAATTTCAAGGTTCTGAGGGGAAATTTTCAACTTAGAATTCTATGTGCAGCCAAACTATTAATCAAGGTGAGTGTAGAGTAAAACATTCTTAGATATATGGGTCTCCTGGCTGGCTCAGTCAGTAGAGCTTGAGACTCTTAATCTCAGGGTTGTGAGTTTGAGCCCCATGTTGGATG